TTTCAGTCGAAGGCTTAGCGATAAGCACAGCTTAGTGTGCGAGAAATCTAAGTTATGGCTATCTATTTGAACGATCAAAGTTATAGTTTTCTATTAAAATATATTTTAAGTAAAAATTCTACAGGATCAAAAGAAGGGCGAACTGATTACTTAAGACGCTCTATTAGAGATTGTGACACTGCGCTTCAGAAGAGGTTGTGCTCGACTTTTAAATCGCACCAAAAACTGAAATAGAATCAAACGATAATTTTATTAGTGAAAGGGGTTTATAAAATTACAAATGTCACGTATTTTATCTTTACCGAAACAGCTACTTCACAGTACAAATTCAATTAAGGGCATGGCGCATTGAGGTTGGTACATTGGGTCTTACATTATTGACTTGCGAAATCTAGTAAACAAACTGACAAATGGTTGCATGATTTTCTGTAGCTAATTAGTGTACAGTTGTACAGAGGGAAAGCTGGAATTGAGGCCAGAAACTTACTCTGATACCTCACAAAAATTAACTGTAGAGGTAACAAGTAAGCTAGCTTTTGAAAATTGGATTCGAAGAAAATAAACTTTTGGGGAATTGTGAATAACCAGTCGAAAAACTTGTAGGGGAAAACGACTCTGTTCTGATGTTGCCTTCATGATAATTTTTGTCTGATTAATATGTTACGGCAGGTGTTATCTAATGAACCACGCTGTTAAGCTTCATTGTTTCCCAGTTTGTCTGAAGTTGTGAGTTATTTTCTAAAGCCTTTTTTCGGTTCAGCTACGAGGGAACCAAAACTAAGTAAATTTTAATTTCAGTGTATTTGCCTTTTCACAAACAAATTCCATCGACAAGTCAATGGTCGCGCACATTTTCATGCATACATAACCAATTCAACTAGTGGTTTATCTTAGAGTATTCCTCTGTTGAACAAAACGTACCAATGAGAAATTTGCCCAGTTGAATGAAAATTGCCAGGCTGTTCGGCCGCGGTTGTTAACCTCTCGTTTCAAAGTGGGAGATCTAGCAATAGGTATGTAACCCCCATTGCTGATGTGTGACAGGAGATGCTGGCAGTTTAGTTCCTCTACCTTTACCTGATGCAGTTCTTAGGCTATGCTAGTGCTTCATACAGAAGTTCGGAGAAAAAAATTATTTCTGTATCTATTTCCCGGATAGATTTAAGATAAAACGACGATTTTCTCAATTAGGAGACTGACAACCTTCGGTTCTCAGATAATAGAAGATTGGAATGCGGTTCATCGAGAAAGCAAACACCATGGTTTAGTCGTGCTTCGTGTTAGGGTTACAGATAGAGTAAAACGATCTAATAAACTTATTGAATTAAACATCAAAGTTCCCCTCGATTTTAAAGACAGGTGAAAATTTTCTCAATGCAAAGAGAACACTAAGTCAAGAAGATGCTTTGCAGTTGACTTTCACTTGTGTCGGGATATCACTCGAAAATGAGAGAACCTTAACACAGCGTTAAGTACGTTTTCTGTGAAAGCAACTTGAGGAATACTTTTAACTTAATCAGGGACAGGTAGAAACAAACGGGCGAGTGCATGTTTTATGATATTACGTGGGAAAACTAAGCAGTCGTTAAAATATTTTCAAGCTCTATGAAGGCTAAGCTTTCAGGATCTCCTTACCCCTCAGTTGCTTCAATTATCGCTTAATAAATGGGCCTAGGGAATCTTAGCACAAAAGAGAGCAAAGATTCGTCTTTGCAAACGTTAGTTTTACCTATGAAACTCTTAATCAGATGTCGTCTTTGTAGAAGCCATTTAGAAGCGGCGTTTTAGTTTTGTAGTGCGTTAAATAGAGTTCTGCCATTTAATTCAGTACTTTGAAAAGTGTGCCTGTTGCCACGAAGATCGCCCAAGTTGTTCTGAGGCCCGTGGAGAATAAATTTCAAGGTTAAATTTTAAAACAAGAATAATACATCTTTATGGCGGCAGTAATTCTCAGCAAAATTACTATTGCAATTGTCATACAATTCAATTTGGACTCAAACCGATTGAAAGTAGCCAAGTTGTAGAACGATTTTTCAATTTGCGATAAGCGATCGTTTCGACTTTGAATATAATCGAATGTAATCGATTAATTAGCACAACATAATAGAAATATATAACAACTTAACCGTAAGAATTTACTCGGAAATATCATAACGTAGCGTTTTTTTTTCAAGCTCTCGACGCCAATATCATGATCGCAAACCAAACTGCATATCGAAGGCGCGTGTAATACAGTGATTACTTAAGTAGCTAGTGCCTTGGTCTGTGTGGCATGCCCCTGCTAATAGATTTAAGCTTCCGAACATGGAATAGAATAGATTCAATCGATTACTTCCTTCCATTAAAGTGTGAAAGTTGTTAATAGACCATCCGTGGAATATTGTTTTGTTTGATGAAGGCGTACAATCTTAGGCAACTACATGTTGTTCGTTAGCCGAGTGGTTGACCAACTTCAGCTCCAAATAGCACTGAATACAACTCATGTAACATTAACAGAAACCCTACCAAAAAAATGTATCATTGGTCTACGGTTCTCGCCTTAGAAGTTATAATCACCTGTTTGTAAGAACACTGTAATCCCAAAACAATTTGAGGATGCCCAACACTGGAGATTAACTGTGGAATGAAACCTCTTCGAAACAACCAGAATAATGTAAAACTGCGTTAGTTATATGTTGTGTTTTACTTCGTATCTGCGAAGAAAAAATGTTCTTTGGAGCCGAATTTACAAGTTACTTTTTAGTTTGAGAAGTGAAACATGAAGTAGAATGTTGTGAAGACATCACAGCCAGAATTACAGCAAGTTTATACGTTGCGAAAGGTTTAGCACTCTGAGGACAGTAAGACAGTATTCAACCGACTTTTGTTTGCTCAACTGTAGCTGAATGACTTTGGTGTAATTTGCAAGAAATGAACTGAAACTTATACTATGATGAAAGCCCTGAAATGCTCTGAAATACCGTTTTCCTTTAAGGGAAAACGAATCACTCCATCATGGTTCAGCACAAATCAATTTCACAGATCGGTTCGCCGTTACAATATACAAATATCAACAAGTTTGGTTTTGGCCTTGTTCACAAGGTAGAATTTTATTTAAGGAGAATCAAGAAAGATGTTTATCAGAGAAAAAGCATGCACATGCAACGCTCACCCAAATTGAAGACGCCACGTAACAAATGAAAGAAAGAGTGTCTGTTCTTTAGGGCGTTGCCATTCCTTTGTCTTCACCCGATCTTCCGTGCAGGCATCTGTTTCCATCATGCAGTTTAACTTTTTGTTTCTTAGCGCAAGAAAGTGCATCGTACTGATGGAGCTTCACGAGTGGGTTAAACATTTTCCAAGCAGAACCTTGTTAGCAGGATTTCATCAGTTGTTATACCCGACAAACAATAATGATTAATGATCTGTTGCCATCTTGTTGCGTGGTGTCAATTTACAGTTACGCGTCAGGTCTGGATCTTGATATGTGTTTATCTTTCTGAGCGTCACGGACTCGAACGCAACTCAGTTTATTTTACTCTTGCAGCCTGAATCAATAACTTGGATTAAGTTTTGAAACTTTAATATTGTTTCTTGTGTGTGATAAATGTCCACTTGCTACTTTTCCTTCTCGGTTAACAAGGGACACCGCAATCCCATTATCTTATCTCTGAATCGCAAATTCTACGAATGCTTCAGGAACGGGACCCACTTATCACAGAGCACCGCCTTTATGCTGGACCTCAAATTGGCCATTTATGTGACAATCAAAACATAGATATGCTGTCTTTCCATCACCTTTGTCTTAATCAGGAAACGTGCCAGTCAGTGGCTGATTAGCGCAGATAGTTTCTGTCTGTTTAGCAACACGCTACGATCCATATCGAGTTTCTTCTGCATGCGATTGGACAAGTGGAGCGATGGTTTAGACGATTTATCTCTCAGGTTCAATCGGTTTAATCACATCTTTAAATGCTATTTTGGATTGTTTCTAATGATGAGGTGAAAAATCCTTTAAACGGCCTCTTGAATTTCTCAAAGAGACACTTCATACGAAAAAAAAAAAGCTCGGTTGAGTTTGGAATGATTTCCAAACGTGTACAGGTTGTTATTAAAATGTGTACCAAATTGAAACCTCTGTGATGATACACATATAACAATGAATGGAGCTTTCGCTTTACCCCTTTTTTTCTCTCTTTCAAATGGACTTATTTACCCATAGTTACCAGATTATTTAGCTGTTATTTTTTCAGAACAAACAGCTCCTCCTCTCCTGTACCATTTGTTTGTTTTGAAGATTTTTTGACCCCTTTGTCAATTTACAGAATGGTTAGTTTATTCAACTTGGAGGAATGTCAAGATGTTGAAAACATTTCTTTCTTCGTCTTTCCTGTAGGTATGATCGTTAAGATAAATGTATTTCTGGAACTTTTAAGTCATTGTTCGTTAAGCCTTCTCATTGGAGGTTGCGAAGACCTAATCATGAAAAAAAGTTGACCAAATTGCTCAGTAGAAAGAATGCGTTGCAATGTATGCGGAGTAAGTTTGAAGGATGCGGATTTCCGCGTGCGGAACCGTTTGACGCATTTAAAAACGGTGGGTTAACCCTACCGGTGCTAACGACCTCCTCACTTGAAAAGTGTTCAGAGTGTGAAACGGCAACAACCTTGCTAAGCAGCTAAATCTCACAAAATGTTTCTCGCGAAGATTTCTCTTATTCTATATGTTCTTGCAGCAGTTAAAGTTGGTAAGTGTTGTAGAATGGGCAAGCGATGGCCTGTAGTAAAAAAGGTGACCCATTGCGTGCCGCCTGAACACAAAGGGTAATTAATCATTTCTAGACAATTTTAGAGACACACGGGAAGGAATTGGTTTTTGTAGTGCCTATAGAGTTCTTCAACTAGGTGTTAAACAAGATTCAATGTAACAGCGCACTATTTGTAATCTGTTGGGTTGTATTCTAGAAGACAGGGTACTTGTCTCACAGTAGTTGACTGCGTTAAGCTTATTAAAGCTCTCTTTTCAGGGTGGCTCGTTAATTGGGCAAGGTCCAACTTTTATTCGGCTTGAAACTTTCACTTGAGGTTCATTGAATTGAACAGTTAAAAATGATTTGATTTTTCGTATTTTCAATGTTGCAAAGTCACCATATTTCTACTCCTACAAATCTTTACTAAGGGAGGATAACATTCCATTGATGTGACTCACAAGTCAAACTTCTCTTGTGAAGAATTTCCTCACGTGTCAGTTTTTAGGGATGGCTCCATGTAATCCTCAATAGTTATTTCTTATTTCACCATCAAATAATAATATAAAGTGTACTACAAAGTCACTTGGGGTCCCCACAAGAAAGACCTTCAAATTTCGCTCAGCAAGTGTTCAAACTGAAAAAGATTTTTGGATGACAACAAATAGGAAATACCTCAGGAAATCAAACTTTAAACATTGCTTGTCCATCCTATAATTAACCATTTTGTTTTTGTTAGTGGAAAGCATTACCCCATCGATAAAGCTTACCGGTCTGAACTGGAGTCTTCTAGAAATAGTATTACCGTAAAGTTACTTTGAAACGTGATAGTGTAAACACGTCAGCTCGAGGCCTTCCTACCTTTCGTTCCTCACTGTATTCATTTCTGTCTCTTTACAAGTCATGAACGCGCCGACTTTTGCAGTCATTTTTCTTTGTCTGCTTCTAAATCCAGTATCTAAAGCTTCACTTTTGCCATTTCTGAAACGCGGTCTCGAAGAACTTAACCATTTTCTGAACATTCCTCATCCCTTCGTCTCCGTTTTGTTCCCAGAACCTGTCGAAGCCAAGAACATAACTATCAAGTTGGGCTTTATCGGCGCTTTAGACAACTCTCTTGGAGCCACGGCATCGCTGGGAGAAGAACTGGTTAGTAATTTGCTATTACCTATTACTTGAGGATTATTAGTGACCCAGCAGTTTGCTACGTTCCTGAAACTCACCCTAATTGCTTTGTACTTTCAGAGCTCGGCGTTCAAGGTAGCAATCGAAGTCATAAATGAAGAGGCTGTCAAGCCGAAAGTTGGCAGTCAAATAAGACTTTCGATGGATTTTAAAAGTAAGAATTCACTTTATACTGTTTGTGGTAAATTGGCTTAAAACACCTACTTATACTCTTGAACACGCTTGAGAGGGAATTAAACTTTAGAACAAAGCAATCCCATCACGATCCTTTCCGTTTGTGTTTGCGCGCCAAGAATTGGCGATCTTTCTCGCTTTTTTTGAGTGAGGGTTATCCTTTTTCCTAATTAAAACCATGACATTTCTTTCGTTACAAGGCCGAGAGGTCTCCATCAATTGGTTTCACTCATCTTTTCTCTATTGGGAATGGTTTAGGGTATAATGTTATGTGTGTGAGGTAACGTTTCTCCTTAGAAAATTTTTGAAGAGTGAGGTTCATTTTGAGAAAAAGGAACAAATTAAATTTGGCATACTCAAAGCAGGGAAATTATGTTTGAAATTATCTGGGGAATAATTAGATTAATCAACCCAATTATTAATCGAGTTATAGTAGAGCGTTCAAGCACTGAACATTAGAAGATACACATATTTATTGATTTATTCCCATGATGGGTTAAGTGGCTGCCTACTTTTATAACTGTTCTTCTCTGATATAGTCTCGTTCTAGACATCCTGAAACAGATTTCATTAAGAGTAGAAAGTTAAAGATGAATTTCTTAATAATCGTTCTAGTACGTATTGTAAGCATCATTGCACTCTCAAATTTTCTGCCTACTGTTCCCAACATGTAGCCAAGTATGGGCAAGAAAGCAACCTGGAATGTTGCGTGTTGTTACAATGAAATTCGCATTTTTATCTAGAGATAAAGAGGGACCATCTCTTTTAAAATGATTTTAGCTTAATAATATGTAGTAGCGCTATGTTAAGGGGTCTTTTTCACACTTCTCTAAATGTTTACAATGTTTCTCCTTATAGCCATGATCAAAGATGGCGGCACCAATCCATCAAAGACCTGTAAAATCGCTGCACAGGAGCTAGCGGCCGATCCAGACATTGTTGGAGTTGTTGGAGCAATGCGTTCCTCTTGTTCCCAAGCATCTCATCAATACTTCAGAGACAAAGGTGAGCGAAAAAATTCGTAGATATTCAGTTCGTTTTGATATCAGGACACATCTTGTAACCGTGCGTGTCAATTTTAAATACGAATGTTGGTTCTTTCCCTGATTAGTCTTCGCTATTCGCAAACTTTTGTTTAAGAAAAGGCGTAGAAGTAAACTGTTTGGCACCGAATTGTACTTCTGATTTTGAAATATAATTATTGTGCTGGTATCTGAGAGAGAAGAATCACATGGTATGCGTATGATTCACGCAGCTAAATAGGATGTAACCATTTACAACATTTTATTACAGTTGAAATATTCATTTTATCGCACTTACACATTGGAAGACAGTTGTGCCAATTTAAACCATCGTATAAATGTTTCGCTGTAACGCTGCAACAACTTGAAAGAAAAACTTTATCAGCTTATAACAGATGCAGTTTTACCAAGAGATCATAAATAGTTAAAGCTTTTTTTCGAAGTCGATTTGGTTACGGAAAACCTTCCCTGATCTGGAGCTCTCCGGACCCCTAATCAGTTTCTTTCCCCTTAATGAAAGTTGCAGTTAACTGACGCAAACATAAGAAGGAGCGTAGTGAGATGACAGAGCAGAAAGGCACAACAATAAAGTGTTAAAGACTGGCCCCTTTTACTTCACGTAACGATAGTGCATGACAGCAGAAAGTGTCAGTGACACAACCTGATGTCGACTTTTACGAGGCGATGAAATCGTGAAACATCAGACACGTTTTTGCTAGCGTTAACACGTTTGATTGTGACCTAAGAAAGTGGCGTCGAAAGTGAAGACAAAGTGAAAACGCCCCGACAAATGTGTTAACGTATATTTGATAAAAAATGATTTATAGCTGGCTACGATGGGGGTGAACTGTCTTACATTAACAGTCTTTTTTGTATGGCTCTCTTTTAGCGCCGTTCATGACTCAGATATCTTATGCGTCAACGGCAGCAGAGTTGTCCAATAAGAAGAAATATCCTCGATTCTTCAGAACGTGCGCCAGTGACGTTGCCCAGGCAGAAGCTTTGGTTGGGTTGGTGACTCTTTTTAACTGGAGACGAGTAAGTATCAACTTGGCGTCTGCTTTAGAACACCTTTACTACGTGCTAACAGGCCCGGTTCAACCAAAAAATAATTCATGAGTAAATGGAGATGCGTTGTAATAGGTACATGTAAAGTTCGTTGTCTTAAGTGTAGCATGTTTGAATATGTGGGGTACAACTCAGCCGTGGAATTAGTCTTAGTAATGGCTTTGCTTAGAACCCGAAGTGAGTTGCTCCCTGCATGTTTTTGATTCATAAATGGTTATGTCCTCTACTTGGTTCTGCCTAACTCTACGTTTAAAGAAGTATTTTTCCTTTAACTAAGCTTTACCCCTACTCACTTGGAATTTGTTCTTTTTGAGGCGAATATAATGGTAATATAATTTGATCTAAGAACTATTCCGTCAAACAATCAGAAAAGTTTTAAAGGATTGAGTTAAGAAATTCTCGGGTAATGATAAGTATATTCTTTCCAGAACCTGGTACGCGAAGAGGGTAAGTGCTACATCTACATAAAACGCGTGGATGAATGAGTTAAAATGTTGCTAACATTGTATTTCTAAGATAAATGATACATCATTTTTTTTTGTTTTTTTCATATAGTAGACACGAGTTTCGCCCCACAACCTTCTAAATGTTCTGCATTACCAACAAAAAATTCCTTGGGTTGAGGCTGCTTGTTGTCCGAAATTGCAAACATTCCCTCATTTCCTTAATAGTTCCTTTTGTCTTACCACGTAGGTCAGTACCATTGCTACGTCTGACGGGTATGGTAAAAACCTGGCTGATGCTTTTGAAACAGCTGCGCGATTGCAAGGAATTAGAATCCATGCATCTGCACGATTACCAGCTATGGCAACCTCAGGAGATATAGACAGCAAAGTTCAAATGGTGAGGGACTTTCTTTTATTTTGATCAAAATGGTTTGTTGACATTAGTATTTGAAGGGTGGAGTTTAAAAGCATACACCGAAATGGCATTTAAAGCATGTGTGTCAAAGTTTTGATGGAAACCTTTCTAGCGAAGTCAATGTGGTTTGTGCAGCTTGTCATTTCAAAACTGTTTTGTTTTGTCAAGTAATCGATGTTTACTTAAGAGTCGAATGGTTACACAACACGTCTTGTTACCACCCTGAAATGGTGTTAATGGCTTTGAAATTGCATCATCGTTGTTTATAAACGAGTTTTAACTTGACCAAAGCTAAAATTAGTCACAATTGGAAACACAGACTGTCTTTATCGGGACAGATTGGTGCCAAAATGAATTGCTTTCTCTTTGAAGGTAAACTCTTATCTTTTGTTCTTTCTGGATTTTTTTCTCAACGGATTGTTTCTGTTGTGTAAATCCACTTTAAAATAATCTAAGGTGTGAAAATACCTAAAACGCTTGATTATTGATGTGCTTATTATTGGACCCCCACTCTCTCCACCCTGACAAATTATCACCTAACGATGTTGGTCACGTATTATAAGACCCTCCTTCTGGATTTTCGCTGAGAGTCGTTGATTGTCAACCGGGATTATACTTTGCATCCTGATTATCGGGATTAGCATGAGATCATCGCAAAATCGCGTAGGAAATGGCACATTTGTTTATTTCGTAATTAAAGCTCTTTACTTCTTCTCTCAAGCTGTTGTTATTTTGATCTTAAGTGTTTTTTATGTTTTAATCTCGTAGCTAAAAGATGCTCAAACGAGAGTTAACCTCGTGTTTGCCTTACCAGAAGAAGCCCGCGCCATATTTAAAGCTGCAAAAGCAAAGGTGACTTAGAGTGATGACTTACAGTCATTTTAGTGATGTTTGTTTCGGTTGTTATTCAACTGTCGTTAGATTCAAGATTTCTAACATTCGCTGGACGTTTGCTTCTTTGATTCCTAATATTAACCATATTGTCTTAACCTTTCAACACCAAAGAGTGATTAACATCCAATTTCTCCTTGCAGAATCACAGATAAATCAATCATTAAAGTTATGAGAAAAAGGGATATGATAGCCTACAAGAGATTTCACATTTAACCCTTTGACCCTCAAGAGTGACTTGCATCTAATTTCTCCTTTCAATATCACCCCTGAATCACACATTAAGGTCAGGAGAATAAAGGAAGTGATCACTAACTAAAGACTCTTTCAATTTTGAAACTAATTCTCTTTGCACCTCAGGAAATGTAAAGAGAAAAGTATGGAGAACATGCATGTTAATGTTAGGGTGTAAAGGGTTAAACGTTAAATTCTCCTTGTCAGTACTTTAGGAATATTTTTAGAGAACAGTGTGGAGAATATCCATATCAATTTTTAGAGTTTGGTCACCAATTGGGCTTTGTGGCTAAGATTATTTTATCATGTTTTTAATTTGTTCTTGCGTGTCTCTATACTTCCTTCCTTGCAGGGTATGACTGGGGAGGGGTGGGTGTGGATAGGAAGTGATGGTGTCCTGGCTACTCCACCGACCAATCAGAGCACAGCTACACAAGCAATGCAAGGAACTGTGGGAACTATGCCCAAAGGTACGTGATCAAAATTCAAGCTGCAGGTCGAGTACATCGAAAAGCAAAAAGCCTATTTTGATCGACTGAGAGAGGTGTTATCCTTCCTTGAGGTTAATTTGCCTTCACCGCGTTCAATTTTTATTTCACTCTCTTTTTATAGGAGGGATAGGAAAATGGATTCTCAGAATGCTGTTCAGGTGGATGAAACACAAAGACAACAGGAAACAGTATCCAGGAATTATTTATGACAATGTACGTCTGAATACGGGCAGTATATGTTTAATGCTGAAAAATTTCGTGCCGGGTTGTTCTTACTCTACTCTACAACGGTTTTCAGTTGAGCGTCGAAAATAATAACGTGGGATTTTTGAGGTTCGCTCTACTGTGCGTTTTGTTTGATTCAGGAAACTCTCACTTAATCGATCGCAACCGGGTTAATTTTTTCAGTCGGGAAATTTGCTTGTATTTAGTTTGAATTTTTGATTACTCTTTGCAGTACTTAACTCTGTACTGCTTGGCCTTTTGATTTTGTTACCTTTCATTTAAAGGCAATCGCGTAAAGTGGGGTCTATCAATTGATGCATCTCTCTCTGCGTGTAATGTATTAATTAGGGGTTTGACCATTGTAAACTCCAGTCATAATAGCTTTTTTTTCTTTGCACCTTTTAGATGCCTTGGACGTCCGTGTATGTCCCACAAGTGTTTGATGCTGTTTATGCTTATTACTTGGCTTTTGACAGATTAGCAAGACAAGGCAAAATATCTTCGGTAAATACAATATTATTTCATCGGTTAATACAGTGTTATTCTCGGGGTAATATCGGAAGTAATGCATTGCGCTCAATCTTAGTGGAGTTAATTAATATTTTTTCTTCCCTCTTCTTCGTTTTTCGCAGAGCGACTCTACGTCAACGTTACGAAAGGTGGTCTTTGATGAGTTGAAGAAATTCAACAATAAAAACACAGGATTTGTCGGTGCTCAAGGTACGACAGAGATTCATAAGGATGGAACATTAAACCAATATCATGTTTTTTAAGTTTTACAATTTCGTACAGCGTTCAGATTTTGAAAACGGAGTAGTAGTTCAGAATACATCAATTTAACGATCTCGATAGCGATTGTTTTATCACGACCGGTGAGAGTCTTCCAGTCGTACATGATAGGTACTGAAGGTAAGAGGGAAAACTGATCAGCTTTCTTTTCTTCGTAAGGTCCCACTTACTTCGAGTCTCCAGGATATGATGTTGGAAATCTTCAGGTTAGAATCAACCGAGTCTGTCTTTTTTTCTCATTCCATATTTTATTGTTTTTTGTCGATGAATGTTTTGGATCCTGCTCACAACCCTCGCTTGTACTCTATCACAGATACTTGATCACTAAGCAGTAGGAAAACAAATCACTAACAGCAGCCCCTTGAATATTCTAGACACCTAACATCAGGTTATGATACCACCGCAGTTGTATTTCTAGAAATACAGTTGCGCATCCACTCTCACTCCTATATAACTTGTCTGGTACTCCTTGATTTGTAATGAATCTTCATTGATAAACAATTCCAATTCTCGAGAACAAACTATAAGCGATTGCTATTAGCTAGTGATAAAAGGCAATAACCACTTCGTTCCGCCTCCTTCAGGGAAAGCTTTGGAAAAAGGTGGGGAAATGGAACAAAACCATCGGAGTCGAAAGAATGGATGTCATCATTTGGCCAGGCAATACCAAAATTCCACCAACTGACAAAGGACTACCCGGTAAGACGACGTTTAGAATCGGTTTCATCGCCCCGATTCACCCAGATTTGGCAGGACTGTCCGAACTCGGTAAAGAGTTTGAATCGGCTTTTCGCGTTGCTGTGGAGATGATGAACAAGGACCCAACGTTGGCAGTGGATTTCGATATCAAAATTCAAGATGGCGGTGTAGATGCTAATTCCTCGTGCAGAGCGGCGGCTGATCAACTTGCGAAAGACGGCGTCGTTGCTGTTATTGGTGCTTATCGTTCTTCATGCTCTCAAGCCGCTGCTACTGTTTTAGGTGAGTTCCACAACAGTCCATTGATTTCGCAGTATACTTGGTACATTATCTTTATTTAGTAAAAAGTACACATCACTGATGAGGGGTGTAACTGCTACAAGACAGGCAATCACGAAGAAAGGAATCTGTCCATGGCATTTTCAGCCAGCACTGAATTTATATCTAGCCTTTTCTGCTGACGGTTACTCAGAGGGCGCGAGTATACCGCCTCCACCCCTCTCTACTTGCAGAGATGTATGATAATAGAACCACTCTATTAAGACTCCTCTTTTCAGGGTATACCTGCATATAAGGGACAACAATTTTGCTAACGACCGAAGCAAATGCCCTCTAACCTTTACATGTGGTGTCTTCATTTAAGGACTTATCTGTTCAACCTGTGGGTGTCTAATGAATGGTTTTTCCTCTGTAACCTTGTGTGGTACTGTCTAAGAGTGACTGGCATCTACTTTCTCCTTACCATTATCCCTAAATCAAACATCAAGGTCAGGAGAATAAAGGAAATGATCACCAACGAAAGAATCTCTTGATTGTTAGTCAAATTCTTCTTGTCAGCGCCTTAGGAAATGTCTAGAGAACAGTATGGAGAATATGAATACTGATGTTATGGTGTAAAGGGTTCATTTTCCTACTCCTATTTCCATTCTCAGGAACTTCAACCAACAGAATACCTCAGATCTCCTATGGCTCCACTTCGTCCGTCTTCTCGGACAAGACCAGTTACAAGTATTTCTTTAGGACTTGCCCATCTGATGTGCATCAAGCTGCCGTTCTCTCAGCTTTATTCCGAAAGTACATGTTCCCGGAGGTCGGCACTGTGGCTACAAACGATATTTACGGAAAAGATCTTGCGGACATGTTTGAAAAAGAAGTCACAGGCATGGCTGATGTGCCGGTCAGTGTGGTCAGCAGTCAACGGTTCGATGTAAATGCACGAGCAGCCACCGTCCGACCAAAAATACAAAAGGTAATTGAGCCTTTCGATTCGGCCTGAAATTTGGGGTGCAGACAATTATAATCGCCATACGACTGTGAGATTAGTTTCCTCGATTTGACCCGGCTGAAATTTCATTAAGAAAGTAAACACATTCAAAAAGTTCAATTTCATAGTTCAGCTATTTGTCCTTCTTGCCATACCATGAATTATATCTTACCAGTTTGTCTTCCGTTTTCTAGCTGAAATCGTCTGGTTCAAAAGTCCACCTCATCAGCATGGTTCGTCAGGATGCTGAGACGGTCTTCCAACAGATCAAAGAGCTAGGCATGACGGGTAAAGGCTGGGTGTGGATTGGAACCGACGGTGCAACCTCTTCCACTTTCAACCAACAGAAAGACTTGGAACGGGCTATGGAAGGTATGATAGGAACACAGCCGAAGAATGGAGAGGGAAGTATTTATTTGAAGTTTCTGGCAGCTTGGCTCAAGAAAGACTCCACAACGTATCCTGGAATTGTACACAGTAAGCCGGTGAGTGTAAGTAGTACAGATATAAATGTATAATTCGTCTCGCTTAGTTGGTATCCTTTGCATTAAAATCACATTGATATTGGGGTCTCATCACTCAAACTTCGTTGAAACCATCACAAGAATAGTGAATTTTACTTCAAGTAAAAACAGATAAACAGGAAAATTTCTCGGGGAAAAGAGGCGTTTAATTTATACATGCATCCTTGATAATATCCTCTACAACCACACCTTTGTTTTAGGAAAATTGTAAAGGTTGATGTGATTTGTTTTTTTTAAACTGTTATCAGTTTTGCTTACTTACGTTATTGCATCTCTGTTCATCCAGACTCCCATGTCAGCGGCATTCACTGCGCAGCTGTTTGATGCAGTACATGGTGTGGCTCTGGCTCTGTCAGACCTGGTCAATAAGAAAGTCATTAGCAGAACATCAGACGTGCAGACTGTGAGAGACGAACTGTATCAGAAGTTAAGAACATTTGATGACTTCAGTTCAGGATATCCGAGCGCGACTGGTACCAACAATGTGATGTACTTCGATCAGAATCAAGATCCCCCTCCTCTGTACGATGTTGTTAATCTTGTGGTAAGTACTTAATGTTGTTTTAAGGGAGTTTTGAGTGAAATCTTCAAATGATAGGTTCCCATTGATGGTAGACATCAATATGTAAGCATGAGCAGATGGAGAGAAGCATATATGAGATTGGAGAGGTTTAACACGACCCTGTGAAGTATGTCAACGAGAAACTTCCAAAAAACTGAAATCGTGAAGGTTAAAGGACACTTAAAACTTCGTAAGGAGAAACTTATACCACATATCAGACAAATGATGGAACAAACTTTCCATAGAAATCCAACGTGATGAAAATTTGTCAATGACAAAACGGCCATTTAAATAACGTGGAGGAAAAAAAATATGCACACGAAATAAACAATACGATGTCTTAAGAACTTGAATCTAATTGTTGAACGCGAGAATATTCTTGATCCTTCAGGGTAACAATTGGATTACGGTCGGTCAGTACGACTCCAAAACAAAGAAAATCGGTTTGAGAAGAGATATAGTGTTCCCTGGTGGCGTGACAAGGATTCCTGGCAAAGATCGACCAACTTACAAGATCGCCGCTTTCTTTCCAACTCATGAAGATCTTGGGCCGTTAAGGGACTTGGGGCTAGAGTGGCAGGCAGCCTTCAGGATCGCTGTGGAGCTCGTAAATACGGGCCCTTTCAAGGTGGCCTTTAGCTATGTTCTTGTTGATGGAGGAGAAAATGCGGAAACTTGCCGACGTGCAGCACAGGTAGGATAATAACTTAAACTCAATTCGTCAAGGTTTTCGCCGTTAGGTTGTCGGCTTTAATTGCTTATTTGTTCTGTGAATTAGTTCGGAATGGTTTTTATAAAGATATCACCCTACAGCTGATGAGATGATTTATTGTCATCTCTAACTTGCTGGTTAATGTATTGGTTATGTGAGTCGACCACTATGTCTTTTCTTTCAGAATCTTCCGGACGACGCGGATCTTATCATCGGAGAAGCCAGGTCGGCCTGTTCCATCGCAATTGCTGAAGCCACGAAACAAAAGAATATTCCTCAAATGTCGTACGCTTCCACGTCTGCGCTACTATCAGACAAGAAGAATTATCCACACCTCTTTCGCACATGCGCTTCTGATGTGTTCCAAGGGAAAGCTCTGGCTAAGCTGGTTGAAAGATACAAGTGGACGCAATTGTCCACTGTAACGACACTTGATCTGTACAGTGAAGAGCTCGCTCGTAAGTTTGCCGTAGAAGTGCGGAAGAAAGGAGTCGACATTGTCACTGAGCAACGGTTTGAAGCGCAAACAAAATTGAGTATCAAGGAATATCTTAAAGAGGTGAGACACTTAGCACCAGTGTATGTATAATTACTACAGGCAGCCACTGAAAGCTTATTGCACATTGCTTTTTAGCACTGAGTTTCGTTCTCCTTCTCCTTCTCCTTCTTCTTCTCCTTCTCCTTCTCCTTCTCCTTCTCCTTCTCCTTCTCCTTCTCCTTCTCCTTCTCCTTCTCCTTCTCCTTCTCCTTCTCCTTCTCCTTCTCCTTCTCCCCATACCCCCTCGACCTTCGTTTTTCGGCTTTCCTTGGTACTCCCTTCAGAGGGGTAACGAAATCGTGTTCAAAATTTCCTTATCTCATTTCCAACGAAACAAAATTTATAACAAATGTCTCTTTGAACAGATAAAGAAAGCTGGGACAGCAGTAAACTTGGTTAGTGCCACGACTGATGACGCAGAAAAAGTTTTTCAAGAAGCGATAGAACAGGTAACAAATTGATTTGTCATTGTTATCTACCCAACATATTGGGGGTTCAGTAGATTTATTACTCAGATACTATCGTTTTACTCGGAGGAGAATATTCCTGTTTTAAAGAACCTCTTCCTCCCTTCCTGGCTTGAAGAGGCCATTTTCGATATAATATCATTAATACTTGGCTCCGTGGCTTGGGGAAATGAAACGTAAGAAATCACATTGACAATGAGGGATGAATAATTAATTTATTTTGTTTTATTCCCCCCTAGCCTTGGAGCTGTGTTAGAATTTCACATGGCTTATTGTGTTTGTCTTCCGTTGTCACATTGTTTCTTTTTTTTTTTCCCGTTACCAGAGTATGACCGGTAAAGGGTGGACGTGGATTGGAACTGACGGTGCTACCACATCACCATTCGTGGAGTCCCCCAACTTACAACTAGCAATGCAGGGTATGGTAGGCACCAGGCCTAAACACGGTGAAGGAGCACTTTACCAAAAACTGCTAAAGACCTGGAAAGAAAAAGACGCATCCATGTACCCTGGTCCTATCCATTCTCCTAGAGTGCTACAGGTTCGTTTGTATTTTCGTTATCTTATCCGCACTTCTCCCATCTTTCCCAACGACTTCCTTTTTGATGTAAGGTTTTTTTTTCTTTTTTTTTTTAAGTTAATAGATTTAACCAGATTAAATCGCTGAAACTGTATTCTGTATGCTCTTGAAATTCAATCGTATTTTAACCCAAGTTTACAGAGTTTTCACCAGAAGTAGAGAGAGATCGGCGTCTTAATTATATTATCCAAGTGTTAACTTCTGGTAACATTCATTCCACAGGCTTCAGCTTATGTTGCTCAGGTCTATGATTCTGTTCTTGCTTATGCGCATGCTTTAACAAGACTTCATGAAGCGGGAACCATAAATAAGGTAAGTTTGTTTAAAACTAAATCCAGTTACGAACTAAAGGTCTAAAAATTACGTTTACAATTTTTGAGCTAAAGGACCCCAATCTAAGATGCTGTTCT